CTTCTGAATAAATGAAAATGATTTAACACAGTTGTTTATACTTTTAGCAGCTCTTTTTATTCCACAGCTGAGCTGCTAAAAATGACAGATTTTATTTTCTGGATCTCTGACAGACGGACTTCAATCTCTGAACTCGTAAAGTTCTTATTTTTAGTTTTCGCTGTCATTCTCATGAATGAACACTTCCTGATATCTGAGACAGGAAACATACTAGCCTTAAATGGTGTTTTTGGGGTGGTAATTATGCTAATCTCCTCTCGGGTGCACGAGCAGCTGGATACGAACAGGTGGAATTTACGCAGCTCATTTACACACTTTTCCTGAAGATAGAAGAGTTTGTTGAATCTGACATGACATGTTCGTACGAACCCTTCGTACGAACAAAAGTAAGAGAAATTTAGGATACGAATACAAACATGTTCTTGCATGAGGCCCATTGTTTGTTGTTTTTGGTGCATTTTGTGGCAACATTGCAGAGCAGGTTAGGAATAGTTATTAGAGCATTTTGGGCCATTTTTCGGTACTTCTGTTTTGATAAAGACATTTTTAAGATTTAGTGCAATGTTTTCGCAACTGTGTTTAGAGATATTAAAAAAATAAATTTAGACAAGTACACTGCTGCTTTAAAGTCAAATCAAGTGGAGTGCACTACATTTAATCATGTTTTTTTTTTTTTTCGGTCTCCCCTGAGACAGGAAAGTTTAGAAATTCAACCATATTGAAATCTAATTTGTCAGTAAAGATTAGCTGAGAAAGGTGAGCTACCTGTACCTGTACAATGAGGTTTGGCGGTGGGATGTTACCAGGGAGAGAGCTGAAGTTGACCCCTACTCCCCCCTCCTGATGGGATGCAAGCTTGGGATCATCCTCATCATCCAGGGAAATTCGAGACAGGGTTCCAGTGATGGTAGCTGGGTTACAGGTGTTAACCTCTTTGAAAATGACTGAAGGGAGATGGGGGGGTACAAAAAGTTGAACAGACAGGAACAAAGTTCAACAGTGACATTACAAGCGAGGGAAATATTGAGTAGCAGCGATCAAGAGTTCACAGGCATGGGATTACAGGAGAAAACTGATATTTGAAATTTAATAAATAGAGAGGACTTTTCAAAAGTGATAACAGAGAAATAAATTCAAGTGAATGAATTGGCACAAATTGTCAGTTTGAAATGTGTTTGCACTGGTGATAAAGTCAGGGAGTCAAATTGCATCTAAAAAACAAAACAAAAAAAATCTGAATTTATTAAGACAAAAAATAAATAAATAAAAGCTTTTCCACTTTACAGTACTCAAGACAACCTTTTTTTGTTGTGGTTTTGTTTGTAGGCAAATGTAAGTTGTACAGTTGTTGGAATTGCTCTGGGTTAGTTTCCATGCAAAATGTGCAGGACAAACAGATGGTATACATTTCCAGAAAATCTACTGTAAAATGGTCTCTGCTGTCTTACCACTGTTGGAACTGTGTGCAGGCTTGAGGTGGTTTAAAAATTTTAAAGGACAATCCCAATTCTTACTTTGTAGCATTAAAATGATTGCAAGGTGGCACAAAATGTTAGCACTGCAACTACAAATGCATGATATCAATACCCATCATCAAGAAGCATAGTCAGATTTCACACAAATGTATCTGGCACCTTTAATAGAACACCTGCCTGTTCCAGATGTGTAAAACAGCATCAGTCATAAGAAACATCAGTTGAAGCAACAAATCAAACAAAAAATGATAAAATAAAGTTCCCATTCATGTTAAACATCATGCTAATAAAGATATAGACACAAATGCATTAAATATAGTGCATAGAAATACTTACTTTGAGACACCAAAATCCAATTCTATAACATGAACAGTGCTACAGAGCATTTCAGCTCAAATGGCACTTGTTCAACCAAAATGTCAGGCTACATGATTAAAACTGAGAATGTGATCTGTCGTTAAAAATACCAGCAAAAATACTGGCCAAGTTAAAAAAAAAAAACATCTGATGTGTCAGTCAAACTAGATTAAACAAATTTGATGAAATCACACCAATTGGATGTCTGCATTACAAAACAACTGCATCAGAAAAGAGATAGCGAACTAGAAGGCGAACTTATAGAGGAATCCGGCACTGCTTAGTTTGTTCATTATTTCTACCCCATAATATGAATGCCCACTTTAGTATAAAAAACTGCTACAGACAAGTTTGATCAAGTGTGGTCAGTCTTTTACAAATACACATACACACACACACACACACACACACACACACACACACACACACACACACANCACACACACACACACACACACACACACACACACACACACACACACACACACACACACAAAATACTCAGACTCTTTTGAACATGTCTAAACAGAAAAGTTATGAACAGCCAATGTTTTACCTATTACCACCTTGGCTCACTCCTTTTAAAGAGCTATCTACAACAGGTAAGATATTGGCTGTTCATATCTTTTTTCACAGAACTCAACTTCAGAAGCTCTGAATTATTATGTTGTTGTACATTTAGTGTTTCATTTTGCTTAAAAATAGTTTCTATAACATTACAGATTTGTGTGAATGTCTTGGCAGAAATGTTTACCGTAAAACAAATACAACAAATGGAGAACATTTCAATTTAGCCTCAACTCCGGATTCTTCTACAAGAATGAATGATTTCTACGATGGATCAAGCAGTGTTGAGTAGGTTAGCTGGGCGCAAAACTTACATGGGTGTCCTCTTTCTGTAAGGGTAGAGGTGGGGAAAGTGACTGTGTTAATATGTGAGACAACACACACACTTGGGCTGTGGTACATCTGTAACACAGCCAAGCACCCGGACAAGACCATTGTCGACTAACAAGTGTAACAGGTTTGAACGTGCTGAGTGTTATTAGCATGCACAATTAAACACAGTCTCATCCAAACATATGCTCACTGAACACTTATTGGGCAGAATCAGTGTGATTGATAAGGCATGGTAATTTGAACACAACCATGTGGAGATGAAGCACGTCAATGCCTGTCATCTTCCCAGCAGGCTAAGAATGCAATGCAATGCTAAACTTGTGTTTGGTGGAAACCGGATCAAATAAAAGAAGACAGGACAGAGAAAGTAAGCAGTCAGGTAGGAAGACTCACCTGTTTGACAAGCCAAGTCCACATCCTTCTCAAAATCCGTCTAAAAAAAAAGCAAGGCATAGTAAAGTGAGGGGAAAAATAAAACAAGTGCATTAGCCACAGAAGAATCCCAAAAACCACTGGATCTAAAATGCTTTAATGCTACGACTTAATTTATTTTAGAAAGGAACGTTTGTTGCCATGGCAGTGCCCTATAACTCAGCATATTGCAGCAAGAAATGTTGCCTTAGGTCATTTTATGAATGTTCAGTTTTGTTTGCTTTAGAACAAGCTTGTTTACAGCCTTTTTTATGACTAAAACAACCAAATGAAACAATATAATTTCATCTTGAATGATAGAATATAACAACTATGTTTGTGGTTTGCACCACAGCGAGTCCATGAACAATAAGGGCAATTACATTGCAAAGACTGTCCACCTAACCAAGTTTTAAAATCTTATATCCAGCCAAAAAGTCTTTTTGATCTTGTTTTGAGACTGATTTACTAAACAAAAACTGATTGTGTAAGAATAATATTGTTTTCAGAATGTGTAAGATTATTTGTCTTGTTAGCTTGAAAATTTGACTCAAATTAAGTCAAAATTTGCTGCCAATGGAGTAAGAAAATTTTATTTGGTAAGTAAAAATACTTTGTCCTCCTCCAGTACGGCTATTGCCAATATCACTCCACCCCCTGTTAACAATAGGTGTTAATTGGGTGTCAAAGATAGCCATGTGATGTGAGTGTCAGTCACATGGAGGCAGTGCTTAAAAGCCTGAATTTTGCCTGAAACTCTCAGACTGAAGAAGTCTCGTGGAGGAGAGACGAAACGTTTCATTAGAGAAGAACCTGTCCAGAAGACCTATACAATTTTTTTTCTTTTTTACTTGGAAAGATTCCTGAAATAATAGAAAACTGAGTCAAATCAAGTATTTCAAGAATCTTACCAAGTAAAAATTTCTTTTTCCACTGGCAGTTATATTGACTTAATTTGAGTCAAATTTTCAGACTAACAAGACAAATAATCTTACACATTCTGAAAACAAGATTATTATTCTTACACGATCAGTTCTTGTTAGTAAATCAGTCTCAAAACAAGATCAAAAAGACTTTTTGGCTGGATATAAGATTTTAAAACTTGGTAAGATGGACATTTTTTGCAGGGTAAACAAGAACTGATTGTGTAAGAATAATAATCTTGTTTTCAGAATGTGTAAGACTATTTGTCTTGTTAGCCTGAAATTTTGACTCAAATTAAGTCAAAAATTTCTGCCAAAGAAAATTTTACTTGGTAGGATTCTTGAAATATTTGATTTGACTCATTTTTTTTATTTCAAGAATCTTACCAAGTAAAATTTTCTTACTCCATTGGCAGAAATTTTTGACTATATTTGAGTCAATTTTTTAGTCTAACAAGACAAATAATCTTAGGTCGTATTCAGACCTGATCATTTGCTCCGCTTTAAATGAACCAGAATTCGTTTCCAGCGTTGGTCCACACTTTTTGTGCAGGTGTGAATAAACTCATGTGAACTCTGGTGTGAATCAAACAATCGGACTGAGACCTGGTTTTTGAGGTGGTCTCGGTTCGCTTCCAAACGACCTCTGGTGCGGTTCGCTTCAGTTCTCTTCTGGTGTGAATACAGACCGGACTCTAACCGAACCAACTGCATTAAACATGCACCTTTTTGGACTTCACAGGCCACCGTTGCTGAGCTAAATAAACTGAAATCATACCTGTTTTGTTGTTTCCTGTTAGCAGCTCTGTGGCAGCATGAAGTGGGTCAGAACACGCAGAGCACCTCATCTCCTTTGGGTCGCGGGACACATTTACGTGAAGTCGCTCCAAAATTAATATAACATCACAGAACCACCATTAAATTAGCTGCTTTTGATGTTTTAAATTGTATTGCAGTTGCACTATCAGCATAAATGTGCGCATCAGAACCGCAGCATGCAGGACTTCCTTGTTTTTTTTTTCTGGGTCTGTGGCTCAGTCCCGCCCCCGTCCTTTTTTGTCCAATGGGAGCAATGATCATCAGCCTCATGGATTTGTTTACAACTTATAGTTCATTTGCAAAAAAGCACAATGTGAATGCAAACCACACTAAAGGAAAAAAAAATAAAGTCCACTTTTGGTCCGGACCAAACAAACGGACCAAATGACTTTCCTGGTCTGAATACACCCTTACACATTCTGAAAACAAAATTATTATTCTTACACAATCAGTTCTTGTTTAGTAAGTCAATCTTAAAACAAGATCAAAAAGACTTTTTGGCTGGATATAAGATTTTAAAACTTGGTTAGATGGACATTTTTTGCAGTGGAGGGCTTGCAAGACCTTACGACATAACACCTTTCCAGTGTGAAGGTCTGATTATACTTCAAAAGATCTCTGTCAGCAGAGCCGGTTCTCCTTGTTGCCTCCCGAGTGCACAGAATTGTCCAATCTCCTTCGTAAGTTTTATTTGACTTTCTTTATTGTTTTTACTAAAACAGATGCAATGTTGGCTTTGTTACCAAGTTAGCAACTTTGTCGCTAGATTTGGCGATTTTTCAGACCCTTCTAAATACTTGTTTTTTTTTTCCCATGTCTTGGAAAAATAAATTATCCTTTAAGTCCTACACTTCTTCTCAGGCCAAGAGTCAGTGACCTATTTTGCTTACCTTTAAAATGTCATCATGTTTTATGATTTTACTCTTTATCTTCGGTTTTCTCGGACAAAGTGTTTTAAGATCAGGACAATATCTGTTAGAAGTAATCATTCTTGTTGCTTTTGATCAAACATCATTCTCTCCTTGGCCCAGTTTTGTCTTTTTGGATAACATACTGTATAAATGTGTGCATTTGACACTGCCTCAGTGCGCACATTTTGTATCACCCTGTGTGACATGATGTGTGTCTTGCAGATTGCAATAAATCCTGATTGACCATTTCACAGAGTACTTTTTGTTTTAGGGTCTCGTGTTTCTGTCTAGGTAAAATAAAGATTTCCACAACACTCCCAAAAAAGTGACTAGCCACAAATCTAGCAACTTTTAACGGCTTTGCTATTGGAGACTTTTGTAGACTTTAGCGACTGCCCTTTCCAGCCACTTTACTCAGCGAGAAGCAAGTGGTGCGGTGAGCCCCTCCCATTTCCAAAGCACTGACAAGGGGAATGTAAATATCACTGTATAGTTTTCTTTTCCTCTGACACTATCATGCTAAAACAAGTCTCTGCACCTGGCTCCATTTGACCCACAGCCTCAGTCACTTCTTCACCTCGTCCACCGTGCAATCCTCTTTTGGTTGAAATTGATGTTCTCACAAAATGTGTTCATGTAATGTAGATCTAAGTGTTAAATTTATCAAATTAATTCTTTGTTTGTTTACTCAGCTGTCATAAATCTCTCCTTCATCCTAGATGTCAATGGGTAATAAAAGTAGAAAACAAGGACTTGTCACACAGCCACATCAGAGAGAATGGAGCTTCTTCTTGTTTAGAATGCACATTTAAGGCTTCCACATGCTTCTTCCAAAACTGCCAGGATCGGCTCTCACTGTTGCTGTTGCATGACAAAAATTGTGTTGTTTTGTTCACAGCTTCAAGTCGTCCCCCCATTCTTGTCACAACCCAAGGAGAGAACTTTTCATCCTCCTCTGCATAAGAAATTATATTCAATTGGTCAGAAGTTCGTGGGCATGCATGCTCATGCTGAAAGCGCAATCAACTGCTTGCTTCGACAGTTGTACCCTGTGGTGGCCTAATTATTTCTATCACCTTGACACTGTCCACTGTTCGTATCTCGTAATATCTTATGAATGTTTATTTAATCGGTGGCTCCGGACGTCAGAAGCTACAGCATCAAGATGGCCTCTTTTCACGTACCGATATGGTCACCTTGGGATTTAGAGCTTGTCATTGGCTGTTAGGGACATGAGGCAGGTTGTGATTGGCTGTTCATTATCACATGATGATAGATGAAGGTATAACATTTCTTTTCCGCCCTCAGTCGGGCGGCCACATCTGACAGACTTCTCTGATTGTTTTCTGTTTTATGTCTGCCCATTTAATAAATGATTTTACGACCATACTCGCAAGACTTTTTGTCTATTTAACATCCTTTCAACGTGTTTTCTGCCCATCTTGTCATGACATACCCCAAAGCAGACATTTATAAAGGTAGTCAAATGGTGCAAAACTCTTGGATGGAGATAAAACAAGACATTGTGCATGGATGAATCTGTCTGCCAAAAACTGAGGCACTTTAACTGGGACAGATTTGTGGAGAAAATAACGGTATAAGTCGGGGGTTTTTTCCGGGAACACAAGCAAGAAGAATCCACATGCAGTGACGTATACTACAACAGGAGGAGCTTCCTATGAGGTGAGCCTTAAGCACTAAGATGAGTGTGTGCAAAAACAGTTGTCAGACAACCATCTGACTGTGCATTGACTGTTCAGCTTTGGAGGAAGTATACTGGACCCTTTAGCATGGCAACAGCAATTTGCAGAGAATCAGAACCGTTATTTGCTGCACCAGATGAATGAAAGCTTTGTTATATCTTAGCTTAACTATATAAATTGATTTATGCAGGTGTTTTATTTATTGCACACCCACTGCCAACCAGAGGATCTTCAAATACAATACATACACACTTTTTTTAACTTGTGCCTACTGTTTAAATTATACGATGATTAGGTAAGAATAGACACAACTATGTTTATTTATTATTTCCTTGTGGGTCAGAATGATAAAAGTTTAGAAATCACTGCCTTGAGGTTATGCATACAGTAGCTGCAGGAAGTTTATTTATTTTTTTAATGGCAACCACTTATTTATTTAATTTATTTATTACTTTGTAGAAAGTGAAGCTCATTGCTATTCCGTCATGCTTTTCCCTTCCCTCACCACAGAGCCTCCTCCTGCACTCTGAGGGATACACTCACAAAAGCTTTTGTTTGGATAACAGACTACAGATTTTAGAGCGTTTGGGCAAGCAGCGGAGGAAAAAAAAACAGATAAGAGGAAAAAGGGAGCTAGAAAAACTGAGGAGTTTGCGATTGAACCATCTCACAGGAACAGAAAAGCTCTTAGTTTGCAAATCGCCAACAACTCCATTCATGGGTCTTTACTAAACGAGTGAATGCAGATGGGAAACAAAACTTTTCTTCTATCCAAACTGAGAAAAAACACATAAAAAAGGTTGATTCGTCAACATCAACCAGGGCTTACACGTAATGAAAATACTATAAGACTGCAGTGAACTTGGTGCAGAATGCAATACTTCAGATTGAGGCTGAATTAATACATTTAGCAACAACACACAAACAAAATCACAGCTATTAAAGGTGCAATTTGTAGCAAAAGTGAAACCAATTAAACAAATGTTTGTTTTTTGTTTTAAAAGAATTGTACAACACTGAAGAAGTTATAATATTTTATGCTTTTTGATATTGTGATGAAATCAAATCAGTGTGCTAAATCAAATAACAGTAGCTTAATTTAGTTAAGAGACTGCAGTTTGGGAAAACAGCACTTAAGTTCAGCTAATCTAATTAAGTTATTGCAATAGTTTTTAATATTTGAAGTACATAATAAACAATACCCACCTATGTTTTTACATTTTGTTTGTTTTAAATATTTATCTAGCTCACCACAATGTGTCAGAGTTGTCATATATTATAACATATCATAACTAACTGAAGCAATTACAGTTATGTTTCAGTAATATCATAGTATTTTTGACTACAGGGAAATTAAGTATTACTCTGCAACACAAATTTATCACAGAATGTAGCAGAAAAAAGGAAGCCTCAGTAAACACCTTAACTTTCTGTTGCTTTCTTTAAAATATATTAAAACACATAGCAAATGTGCTATGTTTACTAAGTTCTCAGGAAATGTTAAACTGCAAAGTTAAATTATTTGTTGCAATTTGTTACAAAACCTTACTGTACAGATTGCACCTTTGACCTCATAGCTAATATAGATCTAGCTATTCCGATTTACTAAAATCTTTGCTTTTTTCTACAGTTGACATACTGATCGGCTGCCGATGTGGTTAGCGTGGTTGTGGGAATTGTTCTGTAAGGGGGTGCGCTCGTTTGCTTCGCTGTGGTTTAGCACGTAGTTGCGGTTGCTGCGAGGTAGACTGTGGCAGCAGGCTTGTTGGCATGTCTGCTGGCATGCTGGTGGTGACGGCAGCGGGCGACAACCCGACAGACACAGGGGTGTGCTGTGGCGAGAGCTGTGCTGATGTCCACAGGTGTCCATTTTCGCACACTTCTGATGATGGAAAAATATATGCATATTAAAAAAAATAAAACTTGCAAATGCAAGAATGGTGTCTGCTCTGTTTAGCAGTGTGTTAATCAGCGTTTAGCTAACCAAATGACTTCCAAAAGCTGGCTTTAGTTCACTTTTAACAAGAGGCTTTGGCGACAGTTTTACACCTTTATGAGCTTTTTTAAATGTCAAGGGTTTAACTTGCAAATAAGATTGTGTCTGCATATTGCAAGAGTAGCTGACTGAATTTTGTTCACTGTAATTTGGTTGCTAATGTAACTGGTGGTGGCTCCATTAAATTATCACATGTAATGCCATCAAGGGTATTGTGTTTCACAGCAGTTTTGTGCATGGGAAGCCTGTAAAGGCACATTTAAAGTCATAGCTACACTTAAAAAATGGGGAAAACCTATAATAAAATTTTCTTCTCATGAACATTAGTCAGTAAATACTTTAAGCTAGACTTGAAATGAAAACAGAAAATGTGTCAATATGGCTTTATTAAACTGGTGGGTTCAAACTTTAATCTTGATAACCCTAGAGAAGCTTTTAAAAACCCAAAGCTTCTCCGGTGGTTAAACAAAAAGGAAAACACAAAGACGACTGCTTGTAGTTGTGGTGTGACCGTACTGACATTGGTGAGGCATTCAAGTCTCAGTGATTTATCACGTTATTAACATTTTGAACACACACACTCTCTCTCACACACACACAACGTTATGGTAACACTTTCTGGTACAAAGAAGTTTAGGTCAAGAGTCACAAAAAGTGCTGATCACTCCACGGTGGAAATACATGATTAGGGTTAATGGGCAATTATTTTTATGCCTTTACTAATGTAAAATAATGATGTTAAAAGCGTTGAGATTCATATTGCAAAAAAATGGTCAAGTGGTAGGCATTTTATAGGCATAAAGCATCACTCAAATATGGCTTTGAAGGAAGAGTCTGGTTGGAAAGTGGGTAATTTAGAGTGGATTCTTGAATGGGAAAAAAACAATAAAACAGAAACTAGTCTTTAGAAATTAAGGAATGAAAGTGCACAATGCATAAATAATGTTAAACTTCCACTGAGGTAAACATGGTTAAAAGGAGGGAGGGAAGATAAGGCAGGTATGAATTTGAGCACCTTCTTAATGGTAATCGTGCTTCTTTCTATTACATCCGCAGGAAGTGCCAGCCCGTTAGTCTGAGGCAAATTAACTGGAATGTGGGATGAAATGGAATGCTATTCACCATGATCTGCACCTGTCCATTCTTGCAGGAGTCAGGGGAGTTTTCACTGTCGTCTTTACATCCCCCCATTCGACAACGAACTGCATCTTGCACCTGGGGGTGAGGGAACGGGAGGTGGGGGGGGTAGAAGATTCCGAAGAAAAAGGATAAAGGCATGGAGGAACAGAGGAAAAGGGGGAGATTGATGAGGGAGAGGAGGAGATGATGCAAAGGAAAGAAGTTAGTGCAGGTACTTTGGCTTTAGCTAGTTTAATAAATGTTGGAACATAGTGAACTTTTTTTCTTTTAGGTTTAATAATTATTCAAAATATCTTGGACTTGTTTAGGGTAAGAGTTAAATTCAAGCAATTTGGGAAAAGTCAGAAAAAAACATATTTTCCTTAAAAAGCTCAGTTTAATAGTGAAATGTCTGTCTAATCCAACATTCTATTCTTTTTTTGTTTTTGTTTTTTTGCCATTTATCCTAGAATAAGTTGTGGGAGCAACAGTTTAAACATAGATTTACAAACCACACTATGCTCATCTGGAAAGACCTCTTCCAGGCCAGCTGGGAGATATAATCCCTCCAGCTAGTCATTGGTCTACCACTAAGGATTTTCCCATCGATACTGTGTCTGTAGAACCCTTCTTGGAATTGTGGTTATTCGCCTCCATGAAATGCCACCTAATCAAGGTTGGGGTTTGATTGACCTAAGGGACCCCAGAAGTTATGATGTTAAGGAGGGCAGTTTGTTCCTGCTGAGGTTTCTCACCCCGCATTTACACTACATGCGACTCCGCTGTGCTGCGGTGCGCAGTTCGCAGCTGTTCGTTTGCAACCCAATTTACAGTATACAGTGTCCGCTACGCTCAGCTCCGCTCCGGTGCAAAGCACAGAGGAGGAAGTGTGTGCATGAAAGAGATTGCACAATGAATCCAGTGATAAATGTGAAAGTCAGAGCAAAAAATTATTAATTCTGTGAAAAATGATCTCCAAACAGCTGAAAACATTGATATAAAGGTTTTGATATCTATAGTTGAAACTGTATCACTGTCGTCTTTTTGAAACTTCTGATTTCAAAATAAAGTCCACGTGAATTGTGTGTGTGCACAATGCTTCATGCTACACGTTGCCATCTCCTTCCCAAACAGAACAATACATTCTGACAACATCTGTGTAAAAATATATCCATTTATTTTTTCAATATAGCTGGGATTTTGACAAAATTATTCCACCTTATGGTGTCTTATTTTGAAAATACAGATGTTGTGTTCATTCCTTTTTCAGTTGGTGCGACGTGATCTTTTCAGATAGATTCCGGAGCAGCTCCGGTGTCCGGCAAAAATAGGATTGGATCTAATTTTGGCGGCTTGCTGTCCGCTCACTGCCGCCCTGCAGAGCCAGTGTAAATACTCTCATTGATTATAATGGTGTATTTGCTGCGGATGTCGGGCTGCAGCGGAGCAGAGACGCATGTAGTGTAAATTGGGGGTCACTGGTTTTGAGTGAGGCACCAAACAAAGTGTGACTCAGCATCTTCTACAAGGAATTCACCAAAGGGCCATGATACTGGATGTGCAAGGGCTTCATTTTAGAACCAGGCTAGAAGTGTTGTTGCCTTTAACAAACTATACTCACAAAATTCAAACAAGCCAATCATGTCTCAGTCTAAATTCTCCCACACAATAAACTCCCTCTTAAGACTGGTTTAAACTTTGTGTCGCAGGTGCTATCCCCAGGTAACAGCAGTCTTGTACATTGCTCCCAGTCAGAACTGTGAGACGCAGACATTGCGGCTCGGAGCGTGTGATTGGTTAGAACTTTGTGGCTGTGTTTGTTCCTGAAGAGCAAGTGGTGGTCCAGCAGGAAGATCTGCTCTGAGTCCAGCTCTATAGCGGTCCAGCAATGGTATCGGTCCAGTGCAGCACTGAGGAGCTGGACTGCTTCAGACCTGGGCTCAGAGCAGATCTTCCTTCCTTTTTTTAAATTGTTTTTTGTCTGAAACCTGTCATTAAAAGAGCAGCTGGTTATACTGAATATGCAGCTGATTTTCACTCTTTTTTTTCCAATCACGGCGGTTAACAAAAAAATAAATAAAATAAACATTTCCCAGATGGACTCTTCAGCCAACATAACACTGATCATTGAGTGACAAAAAAAAAAAAAAAAAGGGAAAAAAAAAAAAAAAAACAATATCCAGCCATCATTATTGTTGTGTTCCTACTTATTAGCTTTGCGAGGGCAAAGGGAAGAATTATGATGATTTATGTCCCGCCGCTTCTTCAGCCCATTTATACTCAATGAGGAAATAGATGTCCATCTTTTTGACACTCAGCGGGGGGACAAGACGTGCAACACAAAGTCCAATCCAGCCTTTAGTGACTGAAAAGATCCCCTTCTCCCTTGTACAGTGACTGATGGGGATAGACTCCATCTCACCGAAAACTGGAAAGAACAAGCAAGTAAAGAAAATGGATGGACAGCTGGAAGGATATGACCAGCCTCCAGTGAACAAACCACATTGCTGGAGACACCCTAGTAGGCTGATAGACATTGTGGTTTGGGTAATACTCAGAAAGCTTAGATGTGTTGTTGAATGCTGAAACTGTGTTTAGAGGTGCACAATAAATGTGATCTCATTGTGGTATCAATGTCACTATTGTGTCTACACCTAGTTTAGATGGTAGTGTTTGAGATGTTAAACTACTAAAAATATTATGAATACCACAAAAAAGAGAAGTGAAGAAAATGTGGATATAGTGAAACAACTATGTTTGTCTAAATATTCATCAATAATATCACAACTACTTGTTTGCCCAATACAGTGCAGCCTTTGTCAAATAGATAGTAGGAAGCGCAGATCAGCACTTCAAAGTGGCCCATCTGAGCCATGTAAAGTTATTGGCTCTAATTAAGATCAACAGAACAGTATAAAGATGTTCTAACCCCTGGGCCTTCCTAGTGTTGTATTGTTTTGTTTTGTTTTTCTCTTTATCCTCCCACATACTACAGTGAAGTAAACTTAGACCAGCCTACTCTCAAAGCTTAAAAAAAAACAGATCCATGAAGATAACCCTAAGATTATTTCCCACTATCAGACTTTTTATGATGATATCTGTCCCCATTTTACTTTTCTGAGGTGCAGCTTCTTTTCCCAGCGCTGCCGCTGTCAATTCCCAGATTATCAAGGATGAACACATGAAAGGCTCGCATAAGGAGTGACACAAGAGGTTCATTCCCATCAAGCCATCTCCCTATTGATGCATATTTGTGTGTGTTCAACTGCAACACGTGGAATGGATCGGAATCCCCGATTATTACTGCATGGCTAAATATATTTATTTATTATTTCTTTTTATCTGTCACTTCTGTTTAAAACTAATCCTCTGTGGCATTTGTTGCCTGCTCTATCCTAACATCCCATAAGTGTGGGTATGTGTGTATTGGTGTTGAATACAGCTGAGTATAGTTTCTTTTCATTCTATCTACACCTAACTACTCCTACCTACCAATTATCTCATCTATCGCTTTTATTTACTGATTCAGCCATGAATCACAGTATTTCTCTCCAATCCCTGTTTGCATATTTTTTTTCCTTCATTATTGCTATTCACTACAACAAAATCCCTCCATCACAATGTACACTAACTCGCCGTCATCTCATCTTGAATTGTTTTGTGGTTGCCTCTTAAAGGGTTGGCATTATGCAAAATCAACATTTTTGAGCTTTATGACATGTGATAATGTCATTCCCTCATCAAAAACATTCCCAAAGTGTTGCTTTGACTCATTCATGCATGTTTGAGAAATCCTCAAATCTCCTGTATTAGCCATGTGGAGCTACTTAAACGCTTGCTGGTACAAAGCACTGCCTATTTACACAAAGCTCCTCCCTGGAATTTAGTCCCCAGCTGAGCTCCCCCCACCACCACCACCACCACCCTCCTAACAGAGCCACTGTTGTGATAATGTGCTGAAGTGGGAGTGTCAGAAATGGTAGGAAGTTCTTAGAGAGACAGATGCTAACTTGAAGGCATTTAAATAGGCTATGATGCAAAGTCAAGTTTAGTTTTGATATATACAACATTTTCACAACAACTGAAGATAACATAGATACTTGATTGTGTAATAGGATTGAACTATATGCCTGGAAAATACACATAAACTTAAAGCCTCTCTTATGTCCATAATCCTTCTTTTACCTTTGCAAATCTCCACAGGTCATCAGTGCTATTTTGGTTCTTACATTTTGCACTAACATCTTACACAAGAGATGTGCTGCATGCCAAAAAAACATACACTAAAATTACTGCAGTTATTTTTGTCCATATTGTAGTTTACTGTTTTTACTATCACATGCTGTAGTCTCTTCATTCAAGCTTCTTCTCTCAAGCTTTGTGCAGTAATACTTCATAATTATCTTTTTTTTCCTACTTTTCCCCCATCCCTCCTTTCCTCTGATACAGAACAGATTTTTTTTCCCTCTGCAGCAATGAAGGGTTTATGCTCCATCTCCTGCAGGGGATTTTCATACATTTACAATAAATAATTCCAGGATTTACTGTAGTCTGATCCCTGCCGCCTTTGTGATATTGATTTATTGCAGCTTAGCAGTCAGAGCATTTTAAAATTCACTTACAGTGTGCAGTGCATTCAATGACCTAATGATCTCTTAGAGAGAGCCAAACCTGTGTGTGTTGTAGCACATCTGTAACAGAAGGCAGATTTACAGTTACTAAAATGTGATGACATTGTAAAAATATTAATTATGACTGGTGAGAATGCTTATGTGGGCGTGTTGTTTTGTGCTAATGCCTCTCTTACGAGACATGAAGACATGTATGTGCATATTAAGACGGAAAGTCAAGGTCCTCGGGGGGCACGACAAAGCCTGTGGCAAATAGGCATCAGGGGACATTAGTTAGGGACTTATCGTCTTATTCCATACATCATCTTAGTAAGCTCCTTAAACCAGACTTGAATCAGTTGGACAATAGCAAACTATCATGCTCCATTATGAGTAAGAAGCACCGCAACAAGACATAAAACCATACTAATCCCTCTCATGCCTGATCCGCTTGAGTTGAGTCGTGGCCTCATACTGACCTGGAAAGTAAGGTGAATAAATCCCACCTGGCGATGGGAACAAGACTAGCAGAGGGAACCATGTGAAGCAGTAGTAAAATCATTTAAAGCAAGCGGATACCATGGCATAGTATAGTAGCAAAAACAAGGAAACTGAACCCACCTCTCGGCGCATGGCACAGTGGACAGTAATGATGACAAAACCTTGAACAGAGTCGAAGACAGCAAAGAGGACCTGGAGCACAGAAATGATATACCATTTATTAACTGGATACTGGGTCATTATCACAAAACTCTGTATCCCTAGTGACCTCTGGGTGAGAGTTGATGCACCCTGAACATGTTACCAGTCCATCCCAGGGTCACAAACAATCATGCATTAACATGAACTGCAAACATTGTCCATCTAAACAAGTTTTTTAATCTTATAGTTAGCCACAACATTTTATTGATCTTGTTTTGAGACTGATATATTAGGCAATAGGATAATGTGTTCATTTATTAATTTTAGCCTGATTTTTTTTTCCTTATTTCAAGAAGTTCTACCAAGTGCAATTGTCTAATTCCACTGGCAGATTGTCAAGTAATTTTAGAATATTCAGACTTGAATTAAGTGATAAAATCTGACAATGGTTGAAAATTCCAGGCCAACAAGATTAACAGTCTAACATTCTGCTCTTTTATATCAGTCTCAAATCAATATCAAAAACATTTTTTGGTAGGATATTATGGAGTTCGCGAGGGGACATGGGGGATTTTTTTTTCCTTTTGCGTTCCCACGCAATACCTTTGCGTAACCTCTCAATACCTTTTGCGTTACCTCACAATACTTTTGCGTTCCCAGGCAAAAGATTGTTCTGTATACGAACTGAATTAAATCAGACTTTATTTTGAAATATCCGGTTACCAAAACAGGACGTGTCGCCACAAGTTTGTGAAATTGACATTGATGTTGCGTGGCTGTACTGTGTTAAAATATTGGCATATGACATACTTCCATGCGTAGCTGTGTGATATATTCTTTCTGAAGCTGAATTAAAGCAGTAGACTAACTTGCTAATGGTGAACATGTGAGTTTGCTAATAAACCGGCAGGCACAACAGTGATAAACTACTTTTGCGAGGGAACGCAAAAGGAATTGCAAAGTAACACAAAAGTATTGTGAGGTAACGCAATACTATTGCGTGGGAACGCAAAAGAAAAAAAAAATCTTCCATGTCCCCTTGTGGGCTCCGTAGGATTTAATATTATAAAACTTAGTTAGATGGATATTTTTATAGTGTGTTTGCATTTAAATTATGTCTCAACATAATTTCAGTAGTACACATTTGACTGTAATCGAATAGTTAAATGTTGTAGCACATATTTAAACATACACAAAAATGTTTAATATGTTGTTGATTATTTATATTTCCTATAAGTCTTTCATTACTGCCCCTTAAGTTCTCATTTATTCTTTTTTATTTTACTCCTAATTTATTTGTTAAACATTTCCTCCACATGTAATTCTGCTTGAATAATAAAAAGGAGTTCTGACTCCAACTGAAAAAAAAATAGTAAAAGAATTGTTGATGTAAGAATGTAATTATTTTATATGTGCAGTCTGTTTTGCACAGCAAGGACACAGCATGATGAATTTCCTGATGCCTTAAATCAGTTCAAAGACACTTTCTCCCATCATGCATCACTAGTGGATGTGTGTGTGTGTGTGTGTGTGTGTGTGTGTGTGTGTGTGTGTGTGTGTGTG